TGAGTCTGATCTTCTTCCCATATATCTGAGCTCAGTTATATCTCAGCCCATCCATGCATCCTGGTTACCAGGATAGATGCTTGAGACTTCAAAAACTCCCCTAATTCTCTTACAGCCCACAGCAATGCTATCACTGACTGCTGATTTTCTATTCTAAATACCTCCATAGACATCGAGGACATTTATAGAACATTTCATCCAGCAACTGCAGAGTATGCATTCTTCTCATCAGGACACGGACATTCTTCAGGATAGACCACATGTTAGGCCACAAATCAAGCCTAAACAAATTTTTAAAAAAGCTGAAATCATATCAAGTATCTTTTTAAGCCACAATGGAATAAAACTAGAAATCAACAATAAGCAAAAGTTTGGAAATTATGTAAATACATGGAAATTAAACAACATGCTCCTGAATGACCAATAGGTCACAAAAGAAATAAAGCAGGAAAATTTTTAAAAACTTCTGGAAAGAAATGAAAATAGAAGCAGAACATATCAAATCCAATGGGACATTGCAAAGGCAGTACCAAAAGGGAAGTTTATTGCAATTAATGCTTACATAAAAAAAGTAGAAATATTTCAAATAAGCAAATTAACACTGTAGCTCAAGGAACTCGAAAAGCAAGAACAATCCAACCCCAAAATTAATAGTTGAAAAGAAATAATAAAGATCAGAGCAGAACTAAATGAAATAGAGGTAAGAAAAAGAAATACAAAATATCAACAAAACAAAAAGTTGGTTTTTTGAGAAGATAGACAAAATACAAAAACCATTAGCTAGACTAAGAAAGGAAGAGAGAAGACCCAAATAATGAAAATCAGAAATGAAAAAGGAGACATTAGAGCTAATACCACAGAAATACAAGGAAACATTGGAGACCATTATGAACAACTATACACCAAATATTTGGAAAATCTAAAGGAAATGGATAAATTTCTAACACCATACAAACTACCTAAAGACTGAACTGAGAAGAAATAGAAAACCTAAACAGACCAATAACAAAAAATGAGGTTGAATCAGTAACTAGCAGTCTCCCAAAAAAGAAAAGCCCCAGACAGGATGGCTTCACTGCTGGATTCTACCAAACTTCAGAGAAGAATTAGTACCAGTTCTTATATTCTTCCAGAAAATAAAAGCAGAGGGTGTTCTCCCAAACTGATTCTATGACACCAGTGACACCCTGATACCAAAATCAGGCAAGGACACAACCAAAAAAAAAAAGAAAACTACAGGCCAATATCCCCAATGAGAAGAGATGCAAAAATCCTCAACAAAATGCTAGCAAACGGAATTCAACAGCACATCAAAAAGTTTAGACAATGTGATCAAGTGGGTTTTATCCCAGTGATGCAAGGATAGTTCAACATATGCAAATCAATAACTATGATATACCACATTAACAAAATGAAGGACAAAAACCATATTTCATCTCAATAGATAAATGAAAAGCATTTGTTAAAATTCAGCTCCATGATTAAAATCCTCAACCTATTAGGTATAGAAGGAAAGTATCTTGGTACACTGAAGGCCATATATGATAAGCCCACAGCTAACATCATCCTGGACAGGAAAAAGTTGAAGCCTTCCCTCTAAGAACAGAAACAAGACAAGGATGCCCACTCTGACCACTCCTATTTAACATAGTATTGGAAGATCTATCCAGAACAATTAGGCAAGAGAGAGAAATAAAGTCCACCCAAATTGGAATATTTGAAGTCAAATTGTCCCTGTTTGCAGATGACATGATCTTATATATAGAATAACATAAAGACTCTACCAAAAAAGTCTTAGAACTAATAAACAAATTCAGTAAAGTTGGAGGGTATGAAATCAATATACAAAAATCAGTAGTTTCTGTATACCAACAATGAATTATCAGAAAAAGAAATCAAGAAAGCAATCCCATTTGCAATAGCTACCTAAAAAATAAAATATGTAGGAATAAATTTAACCAAGGAAGTTAAAGATCCCTACAATGAAAACTACAAACCACTGATGAAAGAAATTTAAGAGGACACACAAAAATAGAAAGACATTTTATGTTCATGAATTGGCATAATTAATATTGTCAAAATGAGCATACTACCCAAAGTGATCTACAGATTCAATGCAGTTGCTATCATAATACTAATGACATTCTTCACAAAAAAAATCCTAAAATTCATATTGAACCACAGAATACCTTGAATGGCCAAAGCAATCCTGAACAATAAGAATAAAGCTTTATGTATTACACTACCTGATTTCAAAATATGCTACAAAGCTATAGTAACCAAAACAGCATGGTGCTGGCATAAAAACAGACATATGGACCAATGAGATAGAATAGAAGGACCAGAAATAAATCCCTGTATTTAGAGCCAATTTACCTTTGACAAAGGTGCTGAAAACATGCATTGGGGAAAGGACAGCATCTACAATAAATGATGCTGGGAAAACTGGGTATCCATGTGCAGAAGAATGAAACTACACCTCTGTCTCTCACCGTTTACCAAAATCAACTCAAAATGGGTAAGACCTGAGACTATAAAACTATTAGAAGAAAACATAGGGGAGATACTGCAAGACATTGATCTTGGTCAAAAGTTTTTTGGAAAAGACTGCTAAAGCACAGACAATAAAAGCAATAACAGATAAATGGGATTTTTATCAGACTAAAAAGATGCACAGCAAAATAATTAACAGAGTGAAAAACCAACCTATGGAATGGGAGAAAATATTCACAAACTATGCATGTGACAAGGGAATAGTATCTAGAATATACAAGGAACCCAAACAATTTAGCAGTAAAAAAGTAACCCAATAAAAAAAGGGCAAAGGAGCTACATAGTCCCATGAAGGGACATTGCAGAGATACTACAGTATTACAACAAAGATCCAGGGAGAATATAACCATTTCAGTGGAAGCAGCATGGATAGGGATAATCGGGGACCAAACCTCACATTCCCCTTTATGTCCAGATGCTACATGGCCTCCAGAAGGTGGATGAAATTCAGAGAGAAAGGGAGAAGAAGGCTGAGCATTAAACCGGTAGAAAAAATGAGTTAGTTTCAATGGATAAGACTAAATTTGCGGATATCAAGAGGAAGTAGGGACAGGAAAGCTAAATTCAATTCAGAGAGATATTTTCAAACCGATTCATATTTTCAAACTGTTTTGATTATAAAAATCCATGGTGATTTAATAACAGCCAAATAGAAATGTAGCCTTCTATAAACAGGCAGGTTAGTAACCAATACAATCATTGTAGACAATAGATTGAACCTTATGCAACTGCGAATATTTGAACATTTAATCTACAAAAATGGCAAATTGATATGGACTAACCTAATACACATGGAGCAAGAACTTGCTAACAACAGAATCAGAGATATTGATTTTGCCACATATTTTGGGAAAGCTCAGTACATGTTAAAAAGTACAAATCTATATAGCATTCTTTTCAAATTTCTTGCTGTGTCTGCATATGGCCAGCTAGAGGGTGGCAAGATTTTAGATTTGAATTTGGAGGAAAATGGAAAGACTGCTTAGGTATGTTTAGGGTAAACCATGTGTCTGACCCAGGTTTTACTGGAGAAGCCTGGTTGGAGATTACCTGCAAGCAGTGGCTATCCTGCCCCAGCCACGTGGGGATGACTCATGTCCAGGTTCCCCTCAATGGATCCATGTGGACTTTAGGATAAATTTATATGCCTAATGATGACAGATAAACCAGCCTTCACTCCAGCCTCATTTCCCACGTCTCCCAACCTTGCTATGGAAGAGATTGTTGTTGATCAACTCAGATTAATGCTCCTTTTCCAGAATGTAGAGTTGTTCTGGGAAATGACTCCCTACCAGGGACGATATTTCTCAGTGCATCTAGAAGAGTCCATATAATTAGCTCCAGCCAGTGAAATGTCAGTGGGACTCATATGTGACACTTCAGCACAGAGGGGCTAATACCACATTCTCTCTCCCCTCAGTCTGCTGGTTAGGTGTCACCTGGGTGACTGTGAAGACACAGGACTAAATCAGACTGGGTCACTGAGTCACCATTTGGAGGAAAGCCACTCTGAAGAGTCTCCAGGGCAACAACTTCTGTGTTGGACCTGGCATGAGTGAGAAATGAATGTTGACTTTGTTGAGCCACTGAGATTTCAGGTTGTTTGTTATAGCAGCACAACCTAGCCCACCTTAAGACCCTTACCCTTCAACATTCTGAATCACTGTTTCCTCAACTTGCCAAGTTGTTTAACTTGACCTGACCTTGCAATCTCTATTTTCTTTGTCTAGAATAACTTTTCCCTTTTCTACCTAACAAACTACCAAGACTCAGATTAAGTGACATCTATGCTGAGTCCTTCTCTGACTTCTCCAGGCTGTTGGCTTCTCTCTCCTTCCTTCATACTCTTGCTGTGCCTTGTACCATAGCCTCTGTCAAACCACGATGACTAGTTATCGTCTCGCAAGATTGTGAGCTCTTTAAATAAATGTAGGCACTAGGTCTCATTCTTTATATTCAGAGCACCTAAAGTACCGCCTGGTACATGTTCGTTCTCCAATATGGATTTTGGATTAGTCTAAGTAAAGTGGGTGTGTGAGGGTTCTTTGGTTACACCCCTTACTCTGCCGATTGCAGGACAAAGCTGGTCTGAACTAGATCAGAGGTGCTGAGCTGCTGCAGTGCATCCTGTTGGAGCTGCACTACTCTTGAAATCAGTAAAGCACTTCCAAGAAATGCTCAGAGTAAAGAAATGGGCCCTTAGAATTTGTCTTTTGCTATTCACTGAATGTTACAGGCAAATAAAGCATTCTCATGTTCAGAATGTGTTTTTAATGGCTGCAGATCATGTGCTTTGCTTATAAGACATTGGAAATTTGGATCTCTCCCAGAGTTCTGACCAGAAACTTTCCAGAATTCTTTTGCTTCTTTGTAAAATTTGGATTTTTCCCCACAGAGGGAACAAGGAGGGAATTAAAAAAAAAAAATCAAATTCAAATGAAATGGGAAATGCTTTAACAGGAATGTTTTATTGTCTCTGCCTGAGTTTCTAACATAGCTTATAAAGTAAAAACACTGCTTTAGTAAAAATGGAATACTATTGGTTCCATAAAATCCTGTCCCTCCTCCTTCAAATCCCACTGAAGGAAAAGTCCCTCATTCCTTGGGGTTGCTGATGACGGCCGTGGTGGAATAGGAGTAGGGACTGAGCAGAGCTGCGATGGTGTAGTGGCGGTGGCCAGAGTCATTCGCTGTGAACACCACCTAAGAGAGAAGACAGATCCATTTCTAACAGAGCCCAAAAAGCATGAATCACAGGTAGAGACACCACTGGAAGTCCAGTGCAAAATTAATTATTTTTATTTTATTATCTCATTTTTTGAAACAGTTTAAACAAAAAGCAAAGATCCAAATATGCTGGCAGGCTAAGCCTTCAGAGCCCTGTGCAGTTTTTAGAACAAGCGTTCTTCACTCCTGACTGTATGGGTCAGGTCTCTGGTTTTGCAAATTCACACCAAGAGGAAACCATAGAGAACCTAAAGCCTCTTGTCCATTTTGGATTCAAAAAAAGTTAGGGATAATGTAAAAACTGGTGTCCCGTGACTGAAGACCTGCTGAGAATGGTGACTGCCAATTGCACCACAGACTTAGAGACTTAGAATTTTGGAGCTGAGAGGGAACATGCTTCCCATTTAATAGAGAAGCAAACCAGACTTCTGTGTTAGTGTTTGCCCAAGTTTATACAGTGACAGGGCCTGGAGAAATACCTTTTGTCCCAAATATGGAAAAAGGAAACCTGGATTACTTAGGGACAGGAGGAAGAAAGATCTGAGTGAACCATACTGAAAACAAAAGTAACGTCAGGACCAGAGGAAGTGAGAATCACCTAAGAATCTCTCTGAAAGAGAAAGGGCACCCCTGAAGGCCACGTCCCTAGAAGCAACTAGGGAAAATTTCTTGTCTCTTATGGTGACATTGGCCTCCAGTCCCACTTGATTCTTTCTAAAAATTGTAAAAGGCATAATCTGTGATTAAAAATCCATGAAGTGAAGAGGCCTAATAGTTCGAGTTTCAGTTTCTGAATTTTTCTTGGTACGTCTAATATGACTGCCCTAGTCATTGACCAGGGAAGAGGTGACTGGTGCTGAAGGACGGCAACTTTCTGGGGTCTTTATCAGAAGCAGCCACAGGAGAGGAGCTCATGGCCAAAGCCACCACACACCGTCACTGAAGTGAGGCATTGGGACTCGCGCTTCGCTACTTGCTCTCTTGTTCCCCATGTCCTTTCAGGCTCCAGTTGGGCTCGTGGTCCTGCCTAAGGTCTGACATCAGTCCCTTCCCTTCCCTTCCAAGGACAGGATGTCTTTTCACTTCTGAATCTTTAGCCTCTAGCAGAGTGCTCAACATATGAAGGCTTCATGTACAAAACATTTGTTGAATGACTACTAAAAAAGTGACTAGCAGACAAGGAAGCTCGTATCGAATGAACAGGAGCGACACGTCATGGGCAGTATGGTAGTGAATCTGTTCAGATGGCCCCATCAGGCTGAGACCCAGGGCAGACAAGGTTTCCATGGCGGCCAATCCAGGGCTCAAGGGTAGGGGCTGAGACTATAGACTCTGTGGTGGGTGACATCTGAACCCCACACCTGCTCTGATCAGCCTCAGTGTCTTGCTATCTGGCTGAGGAATATTCAGAAACATGCTTTTTGGTAGATAGGGTTCCCCTGGTGACTTGTGAGCCCCAGAAGTCAAACAAGCACCTATAGTTTTCCTGGTAACATTGTCTACTAAAAGAACTGTTTTATGGCAATTGAAAGTCTCATCCATGACTAATCCAGAGAGAATGGTTCCCTTTCATGATGAGCTATTTTTGATGGAATTAATTGATCATTAACTCTGACCAACGTGTCTGGATTCTATTTCCATGACAGCCATCTGTGTTAAATGACTTAAGAAATTAAGACGAGGAGGAGGCAGGGAGATTGGGCCCATGTATAATTGTTGGAGGATCTTTACCACCGCCTAAGCAGAGGAGTAGAGTGGGAACAAAAGGTTACAAATGTGGCTTTCCCCCCAGCTTGGCTTCTCACAGGGAAAAAGTTTCCTGAGGCACACCGTGAGACATCCCAACACCGGGCCCCGGTGGGAAACATTCCTGCTCCTCCACTGACTAGCCACGTGACCTTTGACAAGTTATTTAGCTTCCCTGTCCCTCACTTTCTTCATCTGTTAAATGGGGATAATAATAGGACTGACTTTGATGGGTCATTCTTGAAGATTAAATAGGTTAAATACAGAAAACACGTGTCTGGCACATGATGTGTACTTGATAGATGGTATCTGTTGTGTTTCCATTATTATTTTGAATATATTTTCTACGTATGCATTGCCAAGAATCACTTATCCAAACCTCTGGGGGAGCCAGATATGTTAAGCTGTAGAGAAGTAAAATGGTACATCTCTTTTTGTTACATAACACACTAAATGGTGTCTGGAGGGCTCGCCTCATAATCAAACATATTAGTATTTCTTTAGCAAACAAATAAATATTCATATGAAGTGGAATGAATAGACTATAAATGTGTCGTGTAAGTTCAGATCATGTTACTAAGTAAGTTTTCACCAAACTTAGAACAAAGCTTGCTTCTCGGAATGTTGTAGATTTCTGGTTGTAGAATGGGAAAGGGAACCTGTGCTCGTCAGAGATTTCTTATGACATTTCTGTGGCATGCTATGTGCAAACTGTGCATTTCCTGGGATTAAAAACAAAAACCAAAAACAACTCAGGGGTCTATTCACTCACCTCTGCATATTCATGGAATGGGGAGATGCCAAGTGCCTTCCAGTAGGATTTTGTGTCTAATTCCACTTTGTATATCCCTTCTATGAATTTCTCATCAGTTGTAAGCCCATGGAGCTCTCCAGATTCACTGGTCTTCCTACAAAGTGCAAAAGTCTAGGTTATGCATGAAAGTTAGGCATGAAGGGAGTAATGGCATGGCAAAGTGACACCACACACACACACACACACACACACACACACACACACACACACACGTGTTTGTGTGTATGAGTTTGTTTATATGTGATATATATATATAGGAGAGTACTTCAAAAAGTTCATGGAAGATGCAATTAAAAGATAATACAAATCGTTCCATGAACTTTTTGAAGACTCCTCGTGTGTGTATACACACATGTGCACACACACACACTTATATGTATTTTCCCCTCAACCAAATCAAGAGGGGAAAAACTCTAGTAATTGTCTGAAATTAAATGGCAAGAAATTTGTAGAAACTTTTCTAAAAAGCTCATTGTAGGGCCGGCCCGGTGGCGCACTGCTATAGTGCGCCGCTTGGGAAGCGTGGTGGCGCTCCCGCCGAGGGTTTGGATCCCACATACAGACCGGCCGCTCACTGGCTGAGCGAGGGGCGGGAGCAACACCGAGGGTTGCGATCCCGTGGCCGGTCCCGGTCCGGTACGGGCGCGACACTGAGGGTTGCGATCCGTTGCCGGGCACTAAAAAAGACAAAAAGGAAAAAAAAATAAAATAAAAAGCTCATTGTAGATTTTTTTTCTCTTATGAGAACAAAGTACAGATATAATGTTTACTTAAAAGAGTCCTGATATTCAGAGTTGGTGGTTGCAGGAAAGTTCAACTGTCCCTGGAAGTGGCCGGAAACTGTTCTAATTCTGCAGTTTCCCAGGACAGCAGGGGCTCACTCCTATCCCTCGTGGCATGAGGGTACCTTTCAGAAATAGCATTGTTTGTACACACAGTGAAAAACCTAAAGCACAAAAAGAGCTGGCATCTGACTCTTCTCTTTTATATATTTCTTCTCTTGGGTAACTTTTTGCCAACAACAAATACCAGGCAACTTCCATTTCCATATAAGTACCAGCTCAATAGTTGAATGTTAAAAATTGTTCTCCTAAAACTAAGACAGATAAAAATGGAAGTTGTTTTTAGTGACTCTGACCATGCCCCTCCCTCCTTCTTTTTTACACCCTTTTTTTTTTTTTGCTCTTGGTGTAAGAAAAATGATTCACAAGGACATCTGAATATTTTTGGCGTCAATTCTATCTCTTGCTTCGAATTTTCTCATAACCACTTTCCGTGTTGTGCTTGGCATTTTGTATAAATGTAAATTAATTAAATAAAAACTCAGTTAAAACCATACCAAAGGAAATGGTTTTCCCAATGATGCGTGAAGAATCATAGTGGAGTTTTGGGGATTCAATTAAAATTCAACAGAAATTCTTCTGTCAGGAGACATAAATAAAAGTTTGTTTTCTGCTTGTTGTTGAAGTTTTCTTGGTTGCTCTTTCTTTTGACTAGTTTGCTTAGGTTTACTAATATGTTTTTTTTTTTAAAAAAAAATCTTGCGGCCGGCCCGGTGGCGCACTGGATAGTGCGCCGCTTGGGAAGCGCGGCAGCGCTCCCGCCGAGGGTTCGGATCCCACAAACAGACCGGTTCCCGCTCACTGGCTGAGCGAGGCATGGGGGCGACGCTGAGGGTTGCAATCCCGTTGCCGGTCCCCGGCCCGGTGCGGGGGCAACACTGAGGGTTGCAATTGTAAAGCAGCGAGTGAAGGTGAGAAGTCACTTTTGCACTTAATATCGGCTGATTGCAAGATTAGTCTGTTGCTATACTTTGCCTTATGTGTCCTTCTCATCTGTTTTTTCTTACTGAGCTCAACACCCCCAGCCTTACACATAGTAAGTGCTCCAAAGTGTTTAATAGACAAAAGCACTGGATTCTGGATAATCCAAATAAAATACAAGCAACTGCCTTTTCAATGCTGTCACTCAATTCCTGTCCTCTCATTAAAATAAACACACACTACATCTTTCCAAAAATTCTAGGACAAGGACTCTCAGCTTGGGTGTTACCTAGGGGCACCAGGGAATCCAAGAAACTTCTGAAATTATGTATCTGTTTTTGTATGTGTGTATGTATGTTCGTTTTTCTGAGCATAGCGTATATAGTTTTTATCACCTTCTTAAAGTGGTCTTGACCCAAAAGGATTGCAAACCACTGCCAGGTAGAGAAGTTACTGATTCCTTTCCCTACCATCCACGCTGAACGATGCTCAGCTTCCTCGTCACCTCCCAGCTAAGCAAAGCAAGAAGAGGACATCCTTCTCAGGGCACATTTGACCTCTGCCCATGTTTTCAATCTACTTGGAGATACTTTTAGTGGATGATGTGAGACTCCATCTAACAAGTGGAGGGGTGAACAGGAAGGTGTAATCTAGTCCCAGAGCAGGGCTCTTTGGCCCCTTACCCAGAGGCGAATGGCTGCCAGGTCTCATCAGCAGCCTTTATGAACACCTTCACAGCCACGTTGACAGCAGGACTGCCTCGGACGGCATCAAGGACTTTGACCATCAGAGGACACTTAGATGCACCAGTGCCCTGGGTAGAGAGAAGACAAGTGAGAAGTCAATGAAATTGGTCAGAGTGAAAGGATTGATTCTTTACACTGTTAGAAATCTGGAACAAAGCAGGAAGTACATGCTGATTCCATTACCAGTAACATAAGTGTTGACAATTAATGAGCTTCCCTACTCAGTATAACACAGACATAATTGTTTCCAAAGCAAGAATGGTTTCTGCTTCCAGACATGCTGCTATCGACCAGAGATATGTCTAATGAATTTTAAGAGAGAAAATAGGCCCTCTGAGAACAGTTGCTTTGTTAAGCCTCTCCATTTGAGTGGAATTACCGAAAAGACATAATGTGCCATAGGACCAAATAGTTTTTCCTGAGATCATTTTAGTCAGTTGTTGCTGTAGTAATTTCCTTTGACTAGTTGTTGTAAAATAATGTCAAATTACTTCCTGACCCATTTTATAGTATTAGTTAATTTTTCTAGAGGATTCAAGAATTAGATATCTGACTAGAACATTGTTCACCAAGCATTTCCAGATTAATCAATAAAGACTTTTTTTTTTTTCTGACCGGTAAGGAGATAGCAACCCTCAGCATGGTGTGGTCTGCACCACACTCAGCCAGTGAGTGCACCGGCCATCCTTATATAGGATCTGAACCCGTGGCCTTGGTGCTACCAGCGCCACACTCTCCCGAGTGAGCCACGGGGCCAGCCTGATAAAGACATTTTGATTGGATAAAAGTCTAGAATATAATCTCATGAAGTTTGCCCCTCAGACAAATTTTATAAAGGGATGCCTTTTTGAGATTAAGATTAATTGCTTCATTAATACTGTATCTTTATTTCTATCCTCCGTCTGAGAAAATTGATGTACCAGGCATTGCAACCCCAAAGCAACAAAGCAACAGGGGAGAGGAGAGTGCCATAGACCCAGCCCCAGTTCAGTAAGCTCTGTAGAGCTTCATTCTTCAAAGTTTGAATCAATGAAACTAAAAATAGATGCCGGATACCCTTTTTCCCCTAGTAGCCAAAGCTGGTTGGCAAAGCTGGAAGAAGTCATTTCTGCTATCTAGAATACATCTGAAAAACATGGAAGGGACTTCACAGAATCAAACACTCACCGCAGGGCCAGCCTCAGACACAAATACCACAAATACCAGTCCAGCCAGGCAAGGGAGGAGCAGACGGTGAGAAGCCATTCTGCCAGGAACTAGTGGCCTTCTGTGATGGCTGCTCCCAGCTTAAGGCTTTTATACTCACTTCTCCCAAGCCAGGCTGCTTATCCCTGCCAATCTGACTCCAAACCTGCTGATTCTGATTATTGACTTAGTCAACAAAGGGAGAATAAGTAACCCACACAAATAAGAACCTTGTCTAGAGAGATTAGAGCATCAGAACATTAGTTGTATGCAATATTCTTAACAGGTCATTTGACCAGCTAGGTCACCACAACAAAACAAAAATAGTCTTTTCCCTGCTTGGCCAGATGCTGCAACATTCTCAGGATTTTTTTTCCTTACCTATTTCTATGCATGTTTTTCATTTTCTATACATTTTTTTCTTTCATTTTAGATGACAGAGGCAAGTCATAAAAATTTATTTTACATTGAATGACATGTGGCTGCACAGGCTTAAATACAGTGCAGTAGAAAACATCATTGCACTTGATATATGTCCGTGAGTCAACAAGGAAAACCTTTGGCTGTACTCACATTTTAAAAAGCCCGTGTTTTAGCCAAACTAAGCCATTTGGAAGCTTTACTTAGTTAGCAATTTCCTCTCAATTTTTTTTGTTCATGTATGTTTTGTCCAGATAGGTTTCATCTCAAGTTGAAGAATAATGGCATATTTCAAAATAGCATTGATGAGACCAAAATATACAGAACCAAATCTTTTACTGTCTCCTGCATTGGGCCTGCAGGAACAAGGCTAGCCAGCTGGCTTTTGTCAGAATCAAAATTTTTGGAAGAAAGTAGAGATGACCATGAGAACTAGAAGCCATGGTTTACAACAGATTCTCTTCCTTTTGGCCAACTTACAAGTCCAGACATAAGGATCATTTGATGATTCATTGATCAAGTACTAATGTGTGTGTGTGTGCATGTGCACGTGTGCATGACTTAGTTCATGGATAAATTAGACAGGTTTTTGTCCTTAAAGACAAATATGTAGAAGATATAGAGAAGATAAACCTTTTGGACAAATGCATGTCAAGGGTGGGTCCAATTTGGAACTCTGAGAGCTAGGGGAGCATTCACGTAGCTGACAGACTCAGGTTGGAAGAAATTAAAAAAGAAATCATGAAGGATAAGAGTTTTCAGGAAGCAGTGGAACGGACAGGAAAGAATTCCAGGAATACAGAAATGTGCAGAAGACTCGGGGAGAGTGGGTTGACCACAGGAAAGCACTAGCAATGGCGTCCTATAGCTTCAGAGTCTGGTAATGAAGTAGCAGTGGGAGGAGTTTTGAACTTGGAGTTGGATGATCTGAGTCATCCAGTTCCTAACTCTGCCGCCCCGTTTTCTGGAAGACCTTTCGTGAGTTATTTAATATCTCAGATCTCAGATATTCAGCTTACTGATTTGTAAGATAGAAATACCTACTTTTCTACTTCAAAGGACTGTTCTAATAACTTTTAATATTAGATGATATGAAAACATTTTGTAAACTGTAAACCACTATTCTGGTGTAAAAACATAATTGTAATATAAGTTGGCTCTGCATCTATGCCTAAGGAGAAAATCCTTTCTCTTAACGTTTCTAATATATTGTCATCCAATATTCCCTTGATCCTTTCCCATTGCTCAGAACCTGGACAAAGAGCCCATTCTATGACTATGAATCCTAAACACTTGAAATTTATTTCATAGGCCAAGCACATCCTCCACCCGGGCTCTTATCATTACATTCTGTTGAAGCCCAGCATTATCTCTGGTAAACCTTGTGAACTGGCAACCCTGGGCTGTCACCAGCCCATAGACATGTTCTATGTGACTGCAGAGTGTTTTTTGAAACATTTTGAAATAGTTGCTAAAATAAAAAATTGAGACACACTGCATAAAAACTTGGATTTCTGGTTCCTCTTGAGAACTCAGAGAAGGTGGCAGCACTAGGCCCACATTCACACGTGACAACACTCAGCAGAAGTTCACTGTATGACATCACGATTTCTTAGGCCTCCCACGAGGCTGTGGAACATTTCTAGTCACATATCAGGCTTGAATGTTTTTTCTTTTTTACACATATCCTGTTCCTGTCATCTGTCTTCCTGCCTAGGCTCTTGACAATTTGAATTTGTGATTGCTGGTCTTAAATGGAAAGCCATTTAAGTAGTGAATGACAGCTTATTTTCTTTTTGCCAAAAAGACATTCCCACTTCTTTGAATGATTCCAGTTCAGACATAGTTCCTGGAATTGTCACCACCCGAAACATCCTCCTCTGGCATATTCTCACTGGTTAATAGTTCTCTTCAAATATGATGTTTGAACTGGACACATACTCCAGATAAGGTCAAGTCAACTCATAGGATGTTGAGACTATGGCCTCCCTTGGCAAGAGCACTGTATTACAAATGTGGTACGTGAGTGCATTCGTAACTGTAGTAGCTGTGACCCTCTCTTCATCATAACACTACCCGTTGTGACCTGTTGGTCACAATGATCTAAAATCACCATGTATTACTCATCATCCTGTGCTTTGATCATTTGTGAATTTTAACCTAAATATGGGAACCTATGTTTATCTCTGATGCCTTGCATGTCCTTAGTTACAAAACACCATTGCATCCTGTTGACATCATTGAGTGGTTGATTCTGTAAGTCACTCTACTGGAACACCCTCCAAGTCTCTCGCCCTGAATACTTCGACTTACTTGCCTTCTGAACGATCATTAATGTGGAAATCATTAATAAAATTTGCATTTGAGCAAGACAAGAAAGTGGGGAGAAAGTGAGGCAATTCAGAGTGCAGGGAGGGTCCTAAATCCGATTGGAAAATCAGTGATAAGCTTTCCAGAGATAGAGATTATTTTTAATATAAAAAAAAGATAAAATTTTGGCAGAGGTCTGAAAGATCCAATGTGGGTAGTTTGGAGTCAAAGTAAGAGAGCTCCAGGGGAAGAAGTTTGTAATGTTTTAGGTGAGAGAAGAGCAAGGTTGAGGCAGGAAGGAAAAGACAAAAAATAGAGAGGAAGAATGCATTCTTTGTCAAAGGAATGCTTATAAGGCAATGACAGAAGAAGAGTCCAATGTTTCTTGTCTGAGAGGCAATTTGTGGCGAGAGAGGGTCTTATGACTTAAACATGGACTGCTGAAGATGAGAGAGTCTGCCTTTCCCATGTTTATTTGAGTTTGTGAAAGCTCTTTTCAGAGAATGGTTACATGGGATCCACCAGGAGGGATGAATGAAGGTCAAGGGTCACGACACTCCTAGAGACCTGAGCAGTTGCCGTGGATACTGGGTGGTCTGGGGCAAAAGCAGGAGCAGTGAGGATCCAATGCCATCAAACAGAGAAGTGTTAGTGAAACATTCAAGCTACAAGTTTAATGTCTTTTCTGAGCCACGTGCTCTTTTTCTGCACATCTCGCCATGGGGCTATAGCCTAGACGATTAACTGAGGTGGAAAAGACTAATTCGATGACAGCGTTCCTCCTCCCACTAAACGATATGCTGTGGTTAATGAACAACCAGACTGGCTCTTGGTTTAAGATTCTTCTGCTCTCTCCTTTATAATGGACAGGCTAATCTATTACTTTTTAAAATATCATTCACTTTCTTCTTCATTTATTTTCTGAGGGTTCATGTCAATGGCTAGCTGGTGATTTGTTCATGCTGAAATGCCTGCTAATAGTATTGTGAGTGAGCTGATTAGCCAGACTGCAAAGTTGATTGGGCCTCATGGTGGGAGAGAGGGGGATGACGGTATTTGGGGACCCTGGATCTTTGCAGGTTAAAGAATTCAATTTTGTCAGCTCTCCTTGAGGTGAATAAGCCCTGGGGGTTTGATTAATGGTAAGCGAATCATAAAAGACTCATTCTAAAATGCCAATTTAATTAGTACTCAGATGATTGCTGGGTAAGCAAGAAATTGGAGCAAAAAGACCTGGCTAATTTTTTGAGACTATATCATCAGACTGCGGGAGAGCCTAGAAAAGTTTTCTTCACAGAGTGCATTTTTCTCATGCTCAGAATGCTTGTGTCTGTCTTATCTAGCGTGTCTTTCCTCCAGGGAGTGTTGAATAAACACCAAAAAAGCCTTTCCCTTTATCTCCCCTTCTTTCCTTGTCCAGATAGATAACCATTCAAGGAAAAACAAACATTATCTAGGGTATATTAATTAGACCATATTTTATTTTTTATTAATTACAGTTATAGTTTCATAGTTGAATTTTAGGAGCTAACCTAGTTGGGAGCAGCAGTTGAGAACACCCTAGTACAGGCACTCTTGTCTTACATGCTGCCACACCCCACGTTTGGGGTCTACATAATCAAGACTGGCAACCTCAGCCCCACCCCTGGCTTGAGAACCCACCCTGTCTCTTTCAGGGGTCTTTGATTTGCCTTATGCAGTAGTTCAGATGATTCAAAGTCAAGACACCCATTCCTTGGTCCGTGTTTATATCTGTCTCAGTAATCACACATGTGTTAAGGATTTTGTTCATAAGTTAGAGTTTTGGCTTCTAGAGTCACTCAAATCTCACCTACCCCCACTATGAGGGGGAGAGATCAGACAGAAGAGAAGGTTCAAGGCTCTTTGATCTGATTGGCAGATTTTCTTTGGGTTTCCTTGTTTTCCCCTGCAGCTCTCATGCAGCTAGTGTGGCAGAAAAGGGCTGAGGTTGCATGCCACCTGGATGACATATCTGGGCATGATCTGTGAAGGATAAGCAGGAACCAGGCTGTGGCCTGATGGATAGGTGATAGGGAACGGACTACTTTCCATCCCAAACATGTCTTTGTGATGCTTTCTAGCTTAGCCCAGTTTACCAGGAGACCGCACTGGAGTTTGGGTCAATAACACCAGATAGAATTAAAGAGGACTTATTTCATTGATCTTATCTCTGTACACACATCTCCCTTATAATCAGCTGGGCTGATTCTGTGGCTATAATCCAGGGTCCATGGTTCAGGATCTAGATTTTGGCTACTTCTATTATCTTTTGACCTTGGAAATAAAGAGATATTTTTAAGGTCAAAGCAACTATGGAGCAGCTTCTGGATGTA